GGGAAAGAGATGGAAGTCGTTTCCTTCATTTATTATTCCTGGTGGGGTTTGAGAACTGCAAGGCACCATCTCTGCGAGGAGCTGTGTCCACTCCTGCCTGCTTTCCGCTCCACGTCGGGCCCAGAAGTTGGCCCAGGGGTGCAAAGTGACATTAAACCCCACCTTTTTCATCATCACCGTGCTCAGCCCTGAGCTGTTCCCAGGCTCCTCTTTTAAAACGGGCCCGGACTGGTACAGACTTTTTGCATTCATGGAGCCTGAGATTCAAATAGTTGGTTTTACTCTCCTGGACCACCCTCCGTGCAGCCCCGGGGCGGCTCGTGGCTGCAGGAGAAGCCTGGTGGCTTCCAGTGTCCTCAGGAACCTGCCCAAGACTTTGTGTGCTCACTCTGGGCTGCGGAGGGTGACCCTGAGCTGGGACCTGGCTGGGACCCTCAAAGACATCCCCTGGCTCCTGGCAGGGGCGGTGGGACCACCGTGCCCGCGGAGGCTGCTGGGGGGGTTGGCTGGCTGCTGGCTGTGGTCCCCAGCTCAGGGAGGATGCGTTGGCAATGGGGTGGTTGCAAACTTGAGATCTGGGGGAGCAGAGGGCTCCCGGCTCAGGATGGACCTCCTGGCTGGGCTCAAGTCGGCCGGTGGGAGCTGCGTGCCACCACTGGGACCGAGGCAGGGGACAGGAGGGTGAAAACACTTCTCCTGCTCTTCCTGATGTCACCTCCGATTCAGATTTGGGGCTGGCAAGGTTCTTTGGGACCTCTGGAAGGACAGCCAGTGCCCACTTTAGGGAAAAGTCCAGGTGACGAGACCCCCGCCAACATCCCCGTGTCCTGGCCTCTCTGCAGCATCATCCTCACGTCTCAGCAGCGATTACCTCCTGCCCAACCCCTCCGGCAGGTGACAGAAGTCAGCCCCCCTCCTCTTTGCCTACAACCCCGTGGGTTTTACACGGTTCCCCCTCCTTGTGAGCAACGCCTGAGCCTCGCCGCAGGGGAAGAGCAGCCGTGGTGGTGGGAAGCTGCTCCGGGCTTGGAGGTGTGCCTGGGCTGTGCCACGCCAGCGGTCCCCGCGGAGCTGGGATGGAGGTTTGCCCGTAGCCGTCAGCTTCATCTTCCCTGGTTTTTCTCCTGCTGCAGGCCAGAGCACGGAGGCTCGGGTGCAATTGGGTTAGAGAGGCTGAAGGAGCCTGCAGGCATTGGCGCTTGCTCGGGAAGCGTCACCCGGAGATGGATCAGCCAACGCCTCTGCGCCGTTCAACCCAGCGTTCGCAGGCGCCGGTGGGTCAGCCTGGCAACTCCAGGCACACATGACTAAGCCTAATGCAGATTTAATGTTCCAGCTGGAGAAAATTGCGCTTGCTGGAAAGCCTGGGCTGGTCTGATGAGCTGATGTGCTGCCTGGCTTAAGCAAGAAGAGGGAGAAGGCTGAGCCGTCGTTCCCGGAGGCCGGCAGCGCCTGGCCGGCTCCTGGAGGAGAGGAGCAATGTCCCACGGGGCACGAGCCCTGTGCTTGCTGAGGAAGTGCCGTCTTCCATTTCCTCATCTCCTGCTGCCCTGGCCAGCGGGGAGCCTTTTCCCAGCAGCAGATGGGCCACACAACATGTCCATGAGCATCTTGGGCTTTTGATGACAACTCAGTCCTTCCTCACGTGCGAGGTCTGGGTATTTTTTACCGTGGGGCTCTCCGTCTGCCAGTGCGAAGTTGGTTTTAACTCTTTTTGTCTGAGCTGAACGTGGGGATGAGGAGCGTGATGGGTGACACATTTCGAGGACCAGCCTGGAGAAATCCCTTATCAGGATCCAACCTGTGATGGAAAACTCCCTCTAACCCAATTCTCATGTTGCTGCCGGACATCTTGTCTGTCTCTGTCTTGCCAAAGGCCCAAATCCCCCCAACCGAGGTGTACGGCCCCAACAACTGGGCCATCTGGGCTGTCCCCAGGGGAGGTGGCTTTCTGAGGAGGGTTTCTGACCCGCTCTTTTGTAGATGGGGATCCTGCATGACTCTGAAGGCTTCACATGCTGTCTCCTCCTTGGCAAGTTCTCCGGCTCTCCCGCCATCCATCCTCTCCCTGTTGTCCCTTCTTCATGACCGTGTCCCTCCCAAAGGCCACATCGTGCATGTAGCCCATGACAGGGCACTTGCTTGGCCATGGAGAGCATGAGAAGTTTCAGTCCTTGCTTGGCACAGGGCTGAGGCACTGGGGACAGGGTCCTGGGATGCTGGCCCAGTGCTGGAGAGTGGTTTCCTCCAGCCGAGCTTCCCATCCCCAGCAGGAGCCAGGCTGATTTCCCTCGAAACGGGCACAAAACGGCCCTTTTTGGGCCAGGGCATCCCCTGGGCTTTCCGAGCTGAGGTCTCTGTGTGGCTTTGTGGCCAGCGGTGGGTGTGATCCGGCTCCCTCAGAAAGCGTTTTGATGGCCCCGTGGGCATTTCTACAGAGCGATTTGAAGGAATTCTTCCTGCTGGGAACACATCAAAACTGACTTCCCCTGTCTCTGCCATGGCATAAGCTCCTTTCAGCTGCTGGAGCCTTTTCCTTGGAGCCCTCCCACCCTCACGGTGCTGGCGAGTGGGACGGAGCGAGCTGTTCCATCCCCTGCTCAGCCCCGCCGCGGCTGGGAGAGCCTGGCACAGCTCCCGGATCAGGATGTGAGCTGAGCAGGGCTGGCTGCCGGCACCGGCAGGAGGTGGATTTCTGGATGGGGAAACTGAGGCACAAAGTCCGTCGGGAAGGAAGAAACCGGTGGTGGTGGTGGGAAGGAACCTGGATCTGCTTCACCCACTGATTGCCTGTGTCCTGCTGTGAGGCCCGGCATCCCTGCTGGGGCATCCTCGGCAGCATCCTCACCCCTTGGCTCGTTTGGGTCTCCCGGGTCCCGTTCCAGCCCTGGCTAACGACAGCACAAGCCTTCGTGAAGTCAGGCTTATGAAAAATAAATAGCCCTTGGACCAGAGCAGCAAACTTTGTTGCAGGATTGATCATCAGAGCTGCAGCCCCAGTAAGGCTCTGAGACACGCTGTCCTTAATTTTTTAAGGACTGAATTATTCAGGGCCCCGTTGGGGCGGCTCGAGCACCACCACGGCTGTGAACGTAACGCGCTTTCGCAGTATCTTCCTCTGAAGCCCAGATCCAAAGCAACCCCCCCCCGGCCGTCGAGCACTTCAGGGCCATATTTTTCCTGGGAGGTGGGAAGGGAAGACAAAGGAAGAAGGGAAACCCGCCAAGATGTTTCTCCAGCCTGCAGCGAGTTCATTACCAGTCCTCCCAGTTGCAGAGGGGATGCGTTTGCCTTTAATGACTCAGAGGTATTTTTTCCCTGTGAATCGCCTCTTTGATTCCTTGTGACTTCCCTGGTGTCCGGCAGCAGGGAGTTCCCTGCTTTAAATGCATTTAAATATGTTTAAATGCGGTGGGAGCCTGCCAGCTCCTCAGCGCTTGGTCCTCACCCACCCTGCCAGACCACTGGGACCTTCGCTGCATCCCCTCCCACCTTTCCTCTGCCAAATTGCCAGGCTGCATGTTGATTTACACCCCCTAATTTGCTTTTTAGGGAGGAAACCGAAGCTCAGGTGCAGGATAACCCTGCTGTCCTGCGCAGGGCAGCTTGCCCAGGCTGAGCTTTACTCAGCATCCTCCGCCCAGGCTATGCACACACACCCCCCCCCGGCACAGCTCAGCCCATCGTTCCCCGTCCCTCGGGGCTGTTCGGAGGGTGAAACGAGAATGCACTCTATAAATATTAATGCCATTATCAATTCCCCGTCATCACCGTGCCTTGCCTGCTTCCAGATCTCCAGCTTTCATGTTGAGCGGCCCAGCGAGGCGGAAGAGAATAATGGCAAGGGAGCAGGTTCCTTGAAATATTTAAGCCTGAGTTATCTAAGACATTGCAAATAATATATGTGTGAGAGGAGCCAGGCTTGGATTTGTGGTTATGTAAGCTCTGCACGCTTGCTTTTCTGGCCTCCTGATTATTTTTTATCCCTGGGATAAACTCAGCCATGCTAGCTGGCCGTGACCGGGACCGAGAGGGTTCACAGCTGAGGATGCCATGGGGACCGGCAGAGCATCCCTGGGTGGTGGCGGGGATGGAGTCAGCCTCCCCTTGCCCCAGACCTGCTGGGAGGATGAGGATGGGTCAGGCTCAAGGTACAATATTTCTTCGTGAACCTGCTTGAGCAGGAGGGTTGGACTAGATGATCTCCTGAGGTCCCTTCCAGCCCTCGCCATTCTGTGATTCCCCAGATCTTGGCAGCTTTGGGGCTTCCTGAGCTGGAGGGGTTTGTGTCCGTGTGATAGGGCAATGAGTTGCCCTTCCAGGAAGGTCTCTGATCTGCTTCCGAACCCATGCAAACTCTTTAACAGCCTGCAGCTTCGCACAGCTTAGCAACCTGGCGGGTGAAGAACTGGTGCTTTTGATCTGAGCCTACTATGTCCTAACCCTAACCCTAACCCCAACCCTAACCCTAACCTGAATCCTGACGCTTTGGGGGATGTCCCAGGCACCTGGGATGGATCCCTCAATCCCAACTCCCCCAAGACCACCCAACACCTAAACCCCCTTGCTGGGCCTGACCTCGTACCTCCTAGCCAGAAGCGTTGGGTTTGGCCTCAGTGCATGGAAGCGGCTCTTCCAACCGGGGCTCAGACATCGTCCCCTGGTGTGGTAGGACCCTGCCAGGCACAGGCGGGATGCAGGCAAAGGGGCATCCTTCTCCCCCTTGCCCCCCAAAATGCAAGCTCTCCATGCTCCCTGGCTCCCCATCATTGGTCGGACAGACCTATGGGATGTGTGCTGGTGTCTTCTTGTGCTTTGTCCTCCTTGGCCCCATCTGTCCCATCCTTGTCCTTTCCCCGAGGACCACCTGGAGCAACCTTCAGTGAGCTCTCAAGGGTGTTTGCAAGCAAGAAAGCAAGCGGCTTCGTTTGCTTTATGAAGCAAAGGGATTTGTTCGGGGCTCCCGGGAGGGAAGCAAAGATGAGCAAAATCCCCCGGGGTCTCTGCAATGCTCTGGGGTCGTCTCTGTTGCGTGCGTTGGCCACGTTACAGGGACAAGATTTCCACCGCCTGCCCTCTGCCTCTGACTCCGGCACTCAGCCAGCAGACACCGTCCCCAAGGACTCCCGGAGCCGCCTCGCTCGCTGCCTTCAGCTCTTGCCCGCTGCGCTATAATTATCCTACAAAGTCGCAGGGGCTTATTTTCTTCAGACTGATATTCCTCTATCACAAGGATCAAAAGCGCACATTGAAAAGGTCGCCCCGCGAGCAATTTGCTTCCGCGCTCAAACGCCACGGCTGGAAGACAAACAGCCCTTGGCAGGATCACCTTGCCAAAGCCGCATCCTTCTTCCCCCCCACTTGTTTTAGCTGCTCGACGCATTTATTCCTGAGCCAAAGCGGGGAAAATGTGGGGTTTTGGCTTCTGTCCTGCTCCTACGTGCACCATCGTTAGCGGTTCCCAACATGGGAACTTCTCTGGCTAGAAAATAAGCTAGTTTGGGAAGACCTTGGGGAGATTTTGTGGCTTTTGGGGAGCTGCAGACATGAAGATGAAGACAACAGCGTTAGCATCGCTTCTCCCCTGTTGCAGGAACGCGCTCTTTGTCTTCCCATCCTCCCCACTTTAATGGGACCACGGCATTCCGGCAGCGCGACCCCACGAAGACCCTCACCTTAGGGCAGGGTGACAGCAAGATGCTCGCTGCTAAAGCAGCCCAGCCTGGTGATTAACAGCTCATTAAGACAAATTAACTCAAATGACTCAGCCGGCAAGGAGCAGCTTCCCAGCGAAGGCTGCCGTGACCTTCCTGGGGTTACATCCATGGGGCGTTGCACCTTCTCCTGCGTCGAGCCATCTCCTCGAAGCGAAGCGGCTGGGTTTTTCAAGCCTTTCTGCAAAGCTGTGGGCGATGTCTGCAGGAGGAGCAGGGGGTGCTCGGAGGGGCTCTTTGCAAGAGGGACTCGGCCCTTGCACACGCGGGCAGGGAGAGGGGACGAGGGCTGAAGGGTCTTCTCTTTTCTGCGGGTGCCTGCTGTGTCAGGCTGGGGGGTTTCCTCCAAGTGGCCCTGGGCCAAGACCCCAGTGGCTTTGGGAATGGGCTGAGTACATCCCTGGGGCTGCGGTCACCCCCTGAGCCCCATCACCTGCATGGTCCTGCCTGTCCCCTGCCCGCTGGGGCTCCCCACACCTCGCTGTCCCCCGCTGCCGGCAGGCAGCTCGTCCCAGGGAGCTGCTTTTCTTAAAAGCTCTTTTTTGTGTCTTTACGAAGAATTTGGCAATTCTGCATTCAAAGTGGGGGATGTCTCTGGGATGGGGCTGTGTAGTGCATCCCGGCTCCATCCCCCGTTGTATCCCGGCTCCGTGTCCCATTGCATCCTGGCTCCGACCCCCGGGGCTGCAAAGGGATGTGCTGCCAAGCTGGGGAGGGCATCCCTGACGCTGCACCAGGAGGTGGATTTCTGGACCAGGAGGTGGATTTCGGTAGCCCCCAGCATGCCCCACTGCATGGCTGATGGCCCTGGCTGGCTGCAGGGGCTCTGGGCATGCCTGATGGAGCAGTTTGGGGGCTGCGGAGGTGCGACTGGGGGAGGATGCAGGGTTGGAACTCGTCTGCGTGCCAGACACAGCCCCGGCAGCATCTGCAGGAGGAGGGGCTCTGCCACGGCCGAGGCAGAGGTGGTGATGGTCATGCTAGGTTCCCTTCCCCAGACGTTGGGTCCATGGTCTCTATTAGCCCCTGGGTGCTTGACTGGGCTGTACTGACCCCCCCTCCAACCCAAGGCTTGCCCAGACTCTGCAAACGAACTCCTCAGACCCTCCCCAGCGATCCTGGGAGTGCTCCGAGGTGCCTCTGAGCCCTTGCTCCCAGGATCCCTGCTCCACAGCAGGGGACAGTCACCCACCAGCCCCTGTTTCTCTGCTTGTTGCAGGTCCTTGATCACCTTGATGACCACCTGAAGAGATCCCAATACTTCCGATTCCTGTGGTTCCCTCACAGTGAGAACGTCAGCGTCATCTACCAGGACCCCACCAACAAGGCAGGTCCCACCAGGCTCTACGCAGGAAGGGAGAAGGGGCTGGATTCCCTCCCTGAGCTGGCGTTTTAGGCTGGGCTTGCAGTGCAAGGGCTGCCGGGGGGGGGGCCATGAGGGAAACAGCATTTTGGGGCTGGGCTGGGCTCTGCCGTGCTCCACAGACCAGGGGTCCCGGGACACAGATACTGCTGGGGCTGTCCAAACTCTCCGCATCCTCATGGCAAAGCCTGGTCTCTTCCCGGGACTGGATGTGGCCCTGTTTCATCATGGGAGAGGGATCTGGGGAGTCCTGGGGTACCCTTCTCCAAAGCCCCGCTCCCAGCTTGGTCCTGGTCCAGGCACGTGCTCCCACCTTCATCCCCACGGGCAAGAAAGCTGCAAACCCTGCTGGTCCCTAACTACCATCCTCTTCCTCTGCTTGGCTTTGCAGCCCCCCTCCTCCTCCACCAGCTGGTTCTGGGATTACGCTGTCAGCTACTATTTGCTGGAATTTCTGCTCTGGATCAGGTTAGGAGCATGCGGTCGGGGACCAGTGGGGTCGGGGAGGTTTGGCCAGGGCTGGCCTCATCCAGCTCTGTGTTGAAAGCCGCGTCCTGGGGCGGACAGCAAGGGCTGTGACACCCATCCCTGGGGAAGGAGGAGATGCTTGTCCTCCTCCCAGCAAGCTCCTGCACAGGAGGAGCGGGTTTGGGCTGGGATTGATGCCTGGGGCTGCACTGCCCTCTCCTGTGCACACAGATGGAGCAGCGTTGCAGCAGCAAAGGAGCTTTTTGGGAGGGACGGTGTTGGCTGTGAGCGTGTCCTGAGCACCAGGGTGGAGAGAGGAGATGCAGCCAGGTCCTGGAGGCTAAGCTGGGAAGCAGGACCCTGGTGGCACAGGAGATCTGTGCTGGACACCAGTGGACTGTGGCCACTTAGGACTCTTGCCAAGGGGTCCAGCCCTGCCACTCCACCCTGGCCCCCGTAGCTCTGGGTCCCCAGTGCGAGGATGCCCAGTGCACAGCCTGAGAGGCACCGAGGTCTCGAGGAGGGAGGAAGGTGATGACCAAGCCCCCCCTTTTCTTTTGCAACAAGAGGAGGAGGAGGGAGCTGAGGGCAAAGGTGCAAGGTCCAAGATGAGGTGGGGTGAGCACAGGCCAGCTCCTGGCAGGGCTGCAGGACCCCATGGGCTCCAGCAGAGGATTGCAGCACCCTTGGCAGATTGCAGCACCCTTGGCGGGTTGCAGCACCCTTGGTGGGTTGCAGCACCCTTGGCAGGTTGCAGCATCCTTGGTGGGTTGCAGCACCCTTGGCAGATTGCAGCACCCTTGGTGGATTGCAGCTTTGCTGCTTTGCTTACAGCCCCTTGAGAAGGCGTCCCCTTGCCCAGCTTCCCCAGCTGTGGCTTGTGGCATCGCAGCTCGCAGCCGGCCCTTGGCACATCCCCGGGCAGCAGCTCTGGGGTCCGACCTCACCTCCTGCTCTCTCCCCTGCAGCACCTTCGTGCCCAGCTTGGTGTGCTGGATCAACCGCTTCTTCTTCTGGCTCCTCTTCAGCTCCCGGGTGGAGAACATTGCCGTCAGCTACAAGATCTTCAACTATGAGTGTCGCTTCAAGCAGCATGTTCAAGACTGGGCCATCCCCATGTAAATGGCTCTGCAGACCCTCCCTGTCCATCCCCAGCCCTCCCTGCCCATCCCCAGCCCTCCCTGTCCCTCTCCAGCCCTCCCTGTCCCTCTCCAGCCCTCCCTGCCCATCCCCAGCCCTCCCTGTCCATCCCTAGCCAGGCTCCGTGCCCAAACCACATGCCTTCCCCTGCCCCTGCCCTGCCCCAGCCCAGGATGCCCGGAGCAGGAGCAAAGCCGTGGGGAAAGGGACCTGGCTAGGAGACACCATTCCTCCCTGCAAGCTCAGCATGGGGACCCTTCTGCATCCCTGCCCTGGGATACCGGATCCATGCCGCCGTGGGGTGTTGTGAGTCCCAAGCAATGGGAGGGACATGCTGGGACATGCTGAGCCATTCCCTGGATTAGCATGGGGCCAGGCATGGAGCTGTGGGGATGAGGGGTCAAACCTGAAGGGAGCTGGTTGTGCCTGTGCTGGCATTAACCAGGGTTGGGGGCTCCCGCTGGGCAGTGAGAAGACGAAGGAAGCCTTGCTGGAGCTGAAAGCTGCCTTGGAGAACAACCCCAAGATGGTGGCTCACTACCCCGTGGAGGTGCGCTTCGCGCGGGGGGACGAGATCTGGCTGAGTCCCTGCTTCCAGCGAGACAGCTGCTACATGAACATCATCATGTACCGGTGAGCCGTGTCCCCATCCCACCTCCTCCTCCTCCTCCTCCTCCCTGGGTCAGCATCCTGGTGCCCCGGGAGCTGTGCCCAGAGACCCAGCAGCAGCGAATGCGCAGCTCAAACCGGCACCAGCTCCCGGAGGGCACTGCCGAGCGGGATTGAACGAGCTCCCGCACCTTTCCCCACTCATCCCACCCAGATATTTGCAGGCACTGAGCCAGAAGGGATGGGGTGGCCTTGGAGCACCCTACAGCCAACCACCCCTCTTTCTTGAGGATGTTGTCCTACATGAGGGTCAACTGGCCAAGTACCGGTTGTGTACTGGTTCCCGGGAGGGTTTCCATCACCCAGTGCTGGTCAAACAGCCCGTGGTGGGTCCTTGGGGTTGTCCTTCTCCCCAGCTGGGGGCTTCTCAGGGGCGTTTGCAAAATCCCAGCCCCTGCTCATGCCCCCCCTGCCCAACCCCTCCCCAGGCCCTACGGGAAGAACGTCCCTCGCCTCAACTACTGGCTGACCTATGAGGGCATCATGAAGAAGCATGGTGGGAGACCACACTGGGCAA